ATACATTGCTGAATGACTTAATTTTTAGAGGAATGATTGATTCTTCTCTGGCATTTTAGTTAGCCCTGTCATCTATAAACCTAAGTAAGCAACTATGCAAACACTTATATTAACTAGAACAAAACAAACTGTGTTAATACACATGATGACACTTTTTCCAGTGGCTATTTGAAAAATCTTTAGAGGACACCAAATGATTTGGACTATGCTTATTTAGTATTACTAGACATATGGATAAATTATTTTTCCAGAAACATATAAAACATAAATCTATATACAGATACAGATGACCAACAAAATGAGTTTCTTTATACAATTATAATTCTAGAAACTTTATTAATCCACATTTATTGATAATTCTTGGTTGCATTAAAATCTAGGGATGTGGGGTGCCTGGATGGCTCAGTCAATTAAGCATCTGACTCTTGATTTCGGCTCAGGTCATGATCTCAGGGTTATGAGATCAAGCTCCACGTCCAGCTCTGTGCTGAGTGTGGAGTGTACGTACCCATGGCTGCTACCTAATAAAATATGCAATGAAGATATAAAGCCTAATTTATATAGTGTTTTGCTCATAGTTTTTTTGCTGGTGAGCTTTCATACCCTGTATTTCTTATTTTTCTTCTCTCTCTCGCTCTTTCAAACACACACAAATGCGTGCGCACGTACGCGCACACACACACACACACCTATTCTTTAATCTACACTTCCCTATTTTCCAAAATGATGCTTTGCCCTGTGGCTATAACAGAGAAACAGCTGTAATATAAGATGTCAGTGTCTCCGTTAACATCACCTGCCTCAATAACAACTCTGATTCGTGTTTTAAATAAATGTGTCATGACTATGATTGCATTATTATTGGGTGTGAATGGATAAGAGTCTCAGGGAAAGTGATAAAGATTTTAAAGGCTTCTGAGTTTAAACATGAAACTTTGATCCTCTTCCCTTTTTCTTCCAAAGTTGGAAATATTAGGTACAAAATAACTTTTCCTCCTTCTCTCCCTTTTTTTCATTCTCTTCTCTCCCACCTTTCTGTCTCCCCCCCTTTATTTCTTCTCTGTGATAGTATGGCTCTGGGGAAATATTAGTAAGATTGAGGTGAACAAAATAATTTCTTCCACTTTCGTTACTTATCTCTCTTTTGCTTTTGTGTATAACAAATTGGGGCGTGGGTAGGCTGGAAATTTAGTGAACCAGAAGTAAAAGAGAAGAAAATGAGAAAGATGGGGGAACATCTGTAGGAGGGGGAAGTGGGGCAGTGCTCCCTGAGGCACAGGGGCCGAGCTCTAAAGTGGGTGTGCTAAAGTGTGACAGTACAAAGTGTGGGTCCTTGATGGTGGGTCATAAGGAATTTCACAATTAGCTCTAAAAATTATAAGACCTGAATATGTTTATAGATCAGTCATTTTTTCATAGGCATATGTGTAGGGGTAAACTCCATCTTCCTCCTGTGTTTCTCATTCACTCCCTCAGTACTACCACACTCACAGCCCTTCTGACACCCAATATGTGGGGATTTTTCCCCATAACAAGCAATTCCCGGTGACACCAGCTTGGGTATCCTACAGTTTTGACATTATCTACCTGGAGCCTGCCCCTTCGCCCCTACTTCAAGTGCCAATCCCAAGGCCAGATCGTCACCTATGTTTCTAACCAATTGCTATAAATCAGAGGTTCCCACAACCCCTCCTCAGGCTTGATTAATTTGGTAGAGCAGCTTGCAGAACTCAGGAAAACAGTTTACATACTGTTTACCAGTTTATGATAAAAGATAGGGTAAAGGATACAGATGAACATCCACCGGATGGGAGAGATACATAAGGCAAGGGGCCCAGAGCTTCCATGCCCTCTCCAGGCCACACTGCTCTCCTGGCACCTCCATGTTTTCACCAACCCCAAAGCTATCCAAACGCCATACCCTTGAAATTTTTGTGACAGCTTCATCAGGAAGGCATGATCAATGAAGAACTCCTTTTCCAGAGAAAAGGAGAATGAGGGGGTGGAGGAGCTGAAAATTCCAGTCATGGCTTAGTCTTTCTAGTGACCAGCCCCCATCCAGGAGCTATTCAGAGTCCCAGCAGGAGTTTCCCCATAAAATAAAAACAGACTGCTGTTTCCCAGGACTTTCCAAGGGGTTTAGGAACTGTGTCAGGAACCAGTACCAAAGACCAAATATTAGAACAAAAGATATTCTTAGTGCTATTATCAGTTGAGAAATTACAAGGAATTTTAGGAGCTCTGTGCCAGGAGCCAGTAGTAGAAACCAATGCATATTTGTTTTTCCTATTATCTTATAGCATATTTTAGTTGTAGTTTTATATTATCAAATTTTAGATCCTTCAAATTTTAGATACAACTCTAGCATGAAATCTTTTAAAATATGTGAGCATTTGCATATCCAATAAGTCTAAATAAATGAATCTGTTCTTTATGCTCTCATAAGGACAATGAGTTAATAACATCAATATCTAAAAAGAGAATACAATCTTATTTAATATAAAATTTAGACTCCATAAAAAAAATCATAGTATATAATATTGGAGAAAATTCATGAAAGATCCAAAGGTGGAATAAAAGTTCATTATACATATTTGTGACAAGAATAGGATTTAAAAAAAAAAAAACACTTTTTCTCTAATTAAAGAAGTAATATATGCTTATTAAAGGAAATTTGAAAATGCTAAACATATAAGGAATAAATAATCCCATCACCTAGTTTTAACCATTATTAACATTTGTGTATTTTTATTTATGTGAATATGTATATGAATATATATTTATATATATTCTTAATCTTTCTTGGTATTGCTGTCCAAGTTTTTCTTTAAGTTACTTATATTCACTTATTTTTATATTCATGTGTATTACTTATCACACTATTCATACAGTGCATTTGTGTGCATCCCTGCATTCCTTTTATTATGATTTATGTTAGGGGAGGAGTTGGGAGCAGGAACAAGTAAGAAAAATATATGGCAAATAAGTGGTCAATAGGGTTTGGATCCCAGGTGACTCCTTCCCAGATCTGTGGCCATTAGATTACTTCATTCACCTTTTTTTGCTTAAATTTCTTCATCTGTAAAGTAGTATGGTGTAGAGATTAAATGAAAGGGTAAATTTTAAGGATGCATCTCAATGCTTGGCACATTTCACATAATTTAAAGCTATTTATTGTTTTATTATTGATAGCAATGGAATGATGGATATTATAGTCAAATCATCCTCTTGGGGCACCTGGCTGGCTCAGTCAGTAGATCATGCAACTCTTGATCTCAAGATGTGAGTTTAAGCCCCACACTGGGTGTAGAGCTTATTTTCAAGAAAAAAAAAAAAAAATCATCCTCTTTTAAGAAGAAATAGGACACAAACACTTTGCTTTAAAGACAATTTTAAATGGCATCATTTAATAGAAATTTCTCTTGTAAATATGCCAACTTGCCTATAAAAATAGAAAATAATTTATAGAATTATTAAAAGATCATTACCTTCCCCCCCCAAGATTCAAGTTTTGGACTTTAACATATATTTTCCTCAGTGAAGGAGAGATAAGTTACGAATCCACAGCTCATAAGAACTTGGATATCTCATTTAAGTGATCACTAAGGCCTTTCATTCTGCTTTTTAAGTATCTTTGGGAGTCTTCCCCCACCCCCTCTCTTCATGCAAGACAAAGGAGCACAGTAAAGCATAGTTAGGAGACTGCTAGCCAAAAATACTAGTAGTAGGACCTTGGGGGACCTATTCACCTTCTGAGCTAAAGCCTGAGCTTCCTCTGTGGGATTGATGACACCCTAAAAGTTCATTGAAAAAAAAAAAAAGTCAATGAAATAATGTTGTAAAAATAATATATTATCACTTAGGAAGCACTCAAATACTAACTTGCCAGGCATCCCAAACATCAGTTCTGGTATGAATTACTGTTCAACTGACAGTGGTTTTTCATGCATATATGTATATATATACATATATATGTGTATATATATGTATATATATATATGAAATTATCTTTAAAGCAAAATTTTATGGATAGTATGGTAAGCTTATGGTAGAAAAATCTCAGATCTAAGGTCAAGGAATTAGAATTTGGTCTTATCAGAACAGAAGGGCCATGGGGTATTTAAAGAAACTGCTGTAGAGTAGTTGACAAATTTTCTACAAAATGCATCTTCAGGGCAACCTCTAGTGGAGTGAATTTCAGCTTAATTTAAGGTTGTGAGACCCTCTTTTTTGGTGAAGTCATTTATTTTACTCCAATATGTAAAATTAAGGCCTGAGACTCCAGCTTTCTTCCCTTCCCATCCTCATCCTATACCAGGATAAAACCCCAGGGGATCTATAGAACTTAGGTGAAAAATACTGGTCCAGGATAATCCAGTTTTATTGAAGGTAGTTACCACCTACAATGGGGGATGATAGTCAAAATATTTAACCACTAATGGGGCATGAGCACTGACTACTCACAATGTATTCCAGCTATACACGTCATGTAAGGCTCTACTGGATGCATAGGGGCTGGAATTTAGTCCTGCTTCTAATCAAGAGGTTTTATTCTTGGAATATTAAAATGATTTGATTATATACGGCCAAAATGTTAGATTTCTGTGAAATATTAAGAGACCAGGCAAAGCATATTTAACACACAGTTTTAGTAGGCACCAACCCCTATTTCACATGTATTAATTCACGTAATCTTCACAACCATCCTGCTAGTTGTGGATACTATTATTATGCCCATTTTACAGATGAGGAAACATAGAGAAGCTGAAATACACAGAGGTGAATAAACTTACACAAGGACATGCTAGTAGGCGGAGGAGTCAGAATTTAAACCAGGCTTTAGAATTAGGGCTCTTAACACTATCCTATGCTATGTTTTATCATTAAACCTGCCAGGCTGTTTAGAAAATATGGTGGAGTTAAAAATTTTTAAGTTGAGAATGTCTCACCTGTCTCTTTTGTTTACATATTATTTAAAATCATTTGATCAATTTTGGGGCACCTGGCTGGCTCAATGGTAGAGCATGTGACTCTTGATCTCAGGGTCATGGGGTCAAGTCCCGTGTTGGGTATGGAGCCTACTTAAAAAAAAAAAAAATTAGTCAATTTTAATGTCAGTCTTTAATTATTTATTGTTAGTTGAAGTACCTGGAGATAGGCCTACAAGCTAGTGCATGAAAATCCCAGCATTAAGCAAAATGATTTGTTCAGAGCCTAATCTCTCTTTTCTGTAATATAATTTTTTATTTTTTTTAAAGATTTTATTTACTTATTTGAAAGAGAGAGTGAGAGAGAGAGAGCACATGAGAGGGGGGAGGGTCAGAGGGAGAAGCAGACTCCCCACTGAGCAGGGAGCCCGATGCGGGACTCGATCCAGGGACTCCAAGATCATGACCTGAGCAAAAGGTAGTCGCTTAACCAACTGAGCCACCCAGGCGCCCTGTAATATAATTTTTTTTTTTTAAGATTTTATTTATTTATTTGACAGAGAGAGGCAGTGAGAGCAGGAACACAAGCAGGGGGAGTGGGAGAGGGAGAAACAGGCTTCTCGCCAAGCAGGGAGCCCGATGTGGGACTCGATCCCAGGACCCTGGGATCATGACCTGAGCCGAAGGCAGACGCTTAACGACTGAGCTACCCAGGCGCCCCTGTAATATAATTTTTTAAAAGGAATGTTTGTTGGTGTACATGAGAATAGACAGGGAAAATCTATTAATTTTGATTAACGATGCTCCCTTAATACTTATTATAAAATACATATTTTCCCCAATAGCAAAAATTATTGTCATGAATAAATTTTGGAAGGTGAATTTATTTTTCCTAATGTGACTAAGATAAAAGTTTTAAAAAATCATTAGCATTTAGATATAATTAAACATTTAATTATAAATTATCCTAGATTATTATGAAATCCTATTATACTAATAATTCAGAAAAGGAACCAATTACCTTTTAGAATAGAAAAGTCTTGAGAAGACCCAATAAATGATACAGTAGTTTCCCTGGAGGTACATATCTTTGAGATATTTGTTTGTAGACAAATGTTTAATTTATCTTAAAAAGAAATATTAACCAGGGAGTGTCTGATGATAATTTCACTTTCTATATCTGTGAGTCAGGAAATAATTTACATGGATGATTGGAATTTTTTTTCTTTTTTTTCTTTTTGGGTAAAAGGAGACAAAAGGGAGGGTTATGATCTCTCAGAAGAGATGTTACCTATTTAATCCATAAAAGAAAAAGTTTATCTTAAGACAGTTTCTAAGACATTCTTCAGAATTTAACAAATTGGTTTTGGCTCTCTTGACCTTCTCTTGTAGCTCTTATTTAATTCAAAGAATTTTTATCCTCTCCTCTGGAGTCCTCTAAATTTTTATTTGTTCAAATCTGTATATTCTTCACCACATTACAGTATTGTAATAAAAGATCAGTACTACGATGATTGAAATTTTGTTTTTGTCTTTTATAAGTGTTTTGTCCACTATATAATATAAACATATAAAATACATAAGTGATATTGTAATCTATTTTAGCCAATTTAAATATTTCTTAAAAAACAAAAATAATGAGGGGCGCCTGGGTGGCTCAATTGGTTAAGTGACTGCCTTTGGCTCAGGTCATGATCCTGGAGTCCCGGGATCGAGTCCCACATTGGGCTCCCTGCTCAGTGGGGAGTCTGCATCTCTCTCTCCCTCTGCCCCTCTCTCTCACTTGTGCTGTCTTTCTCTCTCTTTCTCAAATAAAATGTTTAAAAAATAATGCAAATTTAATGGGTAGGAATGTTCTAGAACATTATAATATAGTAATATAACTAATATAAATTTTATATTATAAATATATATCCTTCCATGAAAAACTGCTTAAGTTACTGTTGAATTGATGTGTTTGCTGGCATTTGGGATTCTATGTTTCTTAATTAAGCAATACTCTGCCTCTAACATTCAAGAGTATACATCATTGTACATTCCTGAGGAAAATCTGTCAGTGGCTCCACATTATCTTCAGGATAATGTCTAAACTCTTCACAGCCCAAGTGCTTTATGATTTGACTTCCTGTGACCAATTTGGCATTATGTATTGCCACTATTCCACTTCCTGAGGCCAGGCTTATTGTCTTTTACCTCTGAGTTTACAGACTAGAATGGCTTTTCACTTCTTACTCAGTTTAGTTGTTGCCTTCCTTTGGAAGCCACCCCTGATCTCCCAGGCTATTCTAGTATGTCCTTCTCATAGCACATAGCATTATATTTTGTAACTCGTATTTAGTTATCTGTCCCTTCAGCAGGTCTGTGAAATTCTCAAGGGCAAAGCCTTTTGTTTTATTTGTGGTTGGATTTCCAGAAACTCGAATATAATATATGCCATATCAGAGGCATTTGTTGATTGGATGCATGAATTAAAAATGATGATTTATAATGGTCACTCTCAAAACATTGAGAGATCGTGAAATAGTTTCCAAATCAAAAAGGAAAGATAAAATTGATATAAGTAGTTTTAATAAGGATGTGTTTATTTATAAATATGCTTACTAATATTTAGAATAAAGATAACTTTTATTAATTGGAATTTTTGATGAATGAGAGAAAAATTTTCTAGTTACAGTATTTAAGATTAACCAAAATTTATTATGTTTATGGGGACACATTTTTATGCATATTAGGCTTGTTCCTTATGGTATAAATAATTACTCTTCACTTGATTATGGTTTTAATATATGTTATATGTTTTATATTTTCAGATAATTATTTGCACAGTTTTAATCACATCCATTATATCTTCAAAACTGCATTTATAAAAAGCTGCAGCTCTCAAGACAGTGTAAAATATCCTGATATTAAATTGTATTTAAAACGGAAGATTTATTTGAAATTTGTATTCATTAGTTCATAAAAGATAAAAATGAAGCCCTAGGGTAAATTCTAGATTCTGTAAACAAGTCTTAAATTATGACAACAAAACCTTACTGTTTCTCTTTAAAAATTCAAAATGGTGAAATAGTAACAGAATGTTAACTTGGTTTTCCCCATACTTGTAGAGATGATTGTAGAGAGGAAAAATCTTGTTCCTTTTACCCTCCTAGGTTCAAGGGCTGGAGCCCTCAAATCAAACTGATAAAAACAAATTAACAAGAGAAAAAAAAACAGTTTAATTATGTATTTGTGGGATTTATATAATGAATTGAGACCCCAGGAGGGATTCAGGCTTGGATACTATCTTAGGCTAAGGGGCTTCTGGGGGAGGGGAGATAGGAAAGGTGTGGGAAAGAAGGGTTGTTCTGTTATGCAGATAAAAGACTCTCAGGTGATGACTTGTCTCTAGGAGTAGTTCTCTTCCTGGCTTGGACAATATCTTTACAAATGGAAATTTTCTTTGTAAGTTAAATTACTTCATATGTAAGTTAAATTACTTCATATTACTTCATATAATCTCCCGTTAAACAACACAGGAAAGGTCAGTTGAAAGAAGTTTTACTACTTCCAGTTTCCAAGAGAAGGAGGCATGCCACACCATGTAGGCCCATATGGGGAAGTGACAGACAGGTTTGGTCAGGAGGCAGAAAGAGTGAGTGGACAGTGTGGCCCAGATTCTTTACTGTAATTGCAACAGAAAGGCAAGGCAGGGCAGGGTAAACAGTATAGGTCTGGTTGGTTTGAATAATTTGGGGAGCTCTGGGCCATAGGAATAATCTCTAGATGTCTGGTACCTAGTCCTGGGGTGATTAGGACATGGAGAATATTGGCTTGGTTTGTGAGCTAGATAGAAGAGGTTGTTGGGGATTTGGGCTGTGGATTGGTTGGTTTGCCTATCAAAGTCAAGCTGGCAGGCAAGTTGTTTATAGCGTCTAGGGATTAGCTGCCTGGGGGGTGGAGGGCTGTCTCTTACAGAAGTAGCAAGACTCTAAGATGGTAAAACATCATAAAATACAGAAAATAAAAACATTAATGCACACTACTATAGTCTTCACTATTTCTCTTCCCACTTCACTCCCAGCATTTAGTCTCCTCATGCATGCTTGTAATCTATACTTTTTTAAAGTTTGGTTTTCTCTGTGGTAATTATAAAATAGGCCCATAAATGGGATTTAAGATAATAGCAGGGTAGGTGTTGGAAATTTTGAAAAGACTATGTATTTAGGTCAAGGAATTAAGAGAGGCAAAAAAAAAAAAAAAAAAGATGAGAGAGTTTTGAATTTTATTGAGGAGGCTTTTTATGTTAATTTATGTAAAAGCCAAGCATTAAGTAAAGAATCATGTATCATGGTATCAAAATTTTTTCAAAAGAATTTTTAACTCTATAGTGACTTGATTCATTATTTGTTCATTGTAAAAATTTAGGCAGCAATTATAGCCTAGTTTTTTTTTTAATATAAAATAAACTTCGATAATATTTCAAGATGGAGTCCTATTCAAACTCTTTTCCTGGATGTTTATTATAAATTTTGGTGATTCACTTAAAGTAGTGACTTTTCATTAGACTTGGGTAATTACATTCTTCCATATAGAAAAGAGTAGAACTTTTCTGAATGAAGCCAGGCTGGTAGGGGAAGAGGGAAGAAGTCAAGGAGGAGTAGTTCAGTGCACCCCATCCCTTTACAATTTTCTGGAGACTTTTAGGCCTCTGTAAAATATCTAAAAAACTATAGGTTGGGATCAGTGTTTCAAAAGTTTCATATTGAGTTTTATGGTTATGTAAGTTTGCATAATACTGGATTAAGCAAAGTTAATAGGGCTTTTTTTTCCCTATAGATCTTCTTGGAACTATTAAAATGATAATATGCACTATGGATCTCCAAGGCAACATACAGAATTGCCCACAGAATATTTCATTCATTCATTCATTCATTCATTCATTCATTCATTCATTCATTTTTCCTTCCGAGTACCTCTTAGGTCTAGTGTGCTGCTAAATATGCTGTGGAAAACTTTGAACTGGAGAATGGAATGAAAGGAAAGTCATGTAAAGTCTTTGTTCTTCAGCTGGTTCATTTATCAAATTGAAACAAAAATTCTGGTCAATTCTGTCAAGTTGTTTTGAAGATCAGGTTATATTGTTTTGGGAAATGGGTTTTGAA